TGCCTTTTCTTAAAGAATCTAAAGGTTCCTGATGGGTTTTCATCTAATATTTCTCAATGTGTGAACCTAAAAGATCACAAGATATCTGGATTGAAAAGTCATGATTGTCATGTTCTTCTTCAACATTTGCTCCCTCTTGCACTTCGTGGAATGTTGTCTAAAGAAGTGTGTGAACCGCTGATTGAATTATCTATATTTTTTAGTGTGCTTGGATCAAAGGAGTTGAAAATTGATAACTTGGAACATATTGAAGCACAAATTCCAATAACACTTTGCAAGTTAGAAAAGCTCTTCCCTCCTTCATTTTTTGATGTCATGGAGCACTTACCTGTTCATTTAGCTAGTGAAGCTAAGATTGCTGGACCGATTCATTATCGGTGGATGTATCCTGTGGAACGATGGTTATATTTTTTGAAATCTCTCATTGGTAATAGGGCATGTCCTGAAGGTTCTATTGCAGAGGGCTATATTGCCATTGAATGTATGACATTATGTTCGAGATATCTTCATAGAATTGACACAAAGTTTAATAAGCCTGAACGAAATTATGATGGGGGTTTAAAAAAATGTGATGGAGGCTTATCTATATTTTGTCAATCTGGAAAAACTCTGGGAGCTAAAACTCCATATGAGCTTAAAGCAGATGAATTAGAACAAGCACATATTTACATACTAAAGAATTGTGATGAAGTCTTATCCTATCTCGAGTATGTAGTGTTCTTTCAAATCATCTCATTATTATTATTATTTCCGTCAAGGTAATTTCATTTCTATATGAAATTCATGGTTTACTTCAATTTTGTAGAGAGTTTGCACAAACTCATGAGAATGCTCGACACTTGTCTGATGCAGAATGGAACAAACAATTTATTGAATGGTTTAAAGATAGGGCGAGTAATACATAAACATCAAATTTGATATTATAATATTGTATTACTCATTCTAAACTAGTCAACGTAATCTTGTTTATAGGTCGCACAATTGCACAAAGGAGATGATAGTCGTATGATGGAAGATCTCCTCTCACTTTCACGCGGTCCTACCAAATATTCCACGCATTCTAATGGTTATGTTATTAATGGATATAGATTTCATGCAGAAGATTATGATAGAAAGTTAAGGACTCAGAATTGTGGTGTTGTTGTATTGGGTGAGAATGATAAAGATAGTGAGAACCTTGATTACTATGGAGTTTTAACAGATGTGATTGAGTTGCAATTTGTCATGGATAGAAGAATGGTTTTATTTCGATGTAATTGGTTTGATG